TTTGTGTACTCAAGTCAGAGAAGCAGTAAGATTGTGCACCATCAGGAGAGAGAGAGAGAGAGAACTGCTCATCCCCCCCCCAGCATCTCCTCCGTAGGACTGTCTTGGTTAGCCATCCTTGGTGTCAGTTGCTACATCACATCAAGCACCATGATGATTTGGGCTGTGGGTCAGTGTGCTTGGAGGAGAGGAAGCAGAGGTGCGAGAGGGGTTGGGAGGAGAAGAGCTGTTTCTCTTCTTGCCCATAGATTCCCTCATCAGAGAGGGGCGAAGTGGTAGAGCACTGCACAAAGATTGAGCTGAAACATCACCTGGTGACGAGGCTGTGAAGGACTCTAAAGTAGCTCCTCTGACTTCCCAGATCCTCTTCCCCAAATGCTCTTGAATCATCAGGACTTGCTGTTTACTCCCCCAAATTCCTTCCAGATGTGCAGCTTCCACTCAGCCTGGAGACCATGTGGCTATTGACGGCGACTTTGTCCATGCTGTTGAGCTTGGACTTTCAAAATGGGGTTGCTCAGACAGGTGGCTTGGGGGCATGGTCTGGATGCACCTGGAGCTAAGAAGAGCTGGTGGGGCTTGGCTATACTTTGACCAAAAGTGGGGCAAGCAGCAGTACACGAGAGATCTGCCCAAGCGGTGAACAGTCAGTGGCGTGAGAAAGGTGTGCAGACAAAGACTAACTCTCGACACAATGCATGTCACCAATGAAATCTTCATGAATGGCACGTTAACATGCACTTGGTGCTAGCATGGGGCGACACAACTTCACTGGTGAAGAAAGCGGGAAGGGGGGAGGAGGGGACTGCATCACTGAGCAACATACCCACGAGCTGCGGGGCTGCAAACAAACAAAAATGAACACAACTGCCAAGATACAGGTGTCGGCTGGAGCGTCCCACGTCGCCCTTCCCAGCCGTTCAGAGACAGGCGTCTGCTTCGTTTTTCCATCTGACCAGACACACGCTCCAAGCAACACGCTACAGTCATGCATGGAGTTCATGTGGCTCGGGGTGGCTGCATTTCCCCTGTCCAGTTCCTTTCAGAAAGACTTGCCTTCACCCCTCCTCTCGGTCATCTGAAAAGGGTTAGAAATCTGCTAGCAAGTATGGGGCCATATATTAAATCTAAGTCTTTGTTCCTCTGCTTGGACATTACCAGACATCTCATGTAACTCTTGTAATATTTACAAACCAGTAGAAGAAATACAATTTTTTTCTTTTTCTTTTTTTTTTTTTCCATTTTGTTTGTTTCTTTTTATAACACTAACTGTTAAATCTCCATCAATCAAACACAATTACACTGACGAGCTCAAGGAACTGGTGTCCCATTCCAAACTCCCATCTCTCCCAGTCCCCAACCAGCTGAGAGGCAGCAGGAAGCAAGAGCGCAGCTTTTTGGGAGGGGATGGGGAAGATAGCAACATGAACACGGAGTAGAGGTGAGGAGGAGAAACAGCTTCAGAGAAAAGGGCCTGAGACATGAGAAAAACCCCTTGCAACTTCTCTGTCAAAGGGCAGAGGGGTGAAAGAGAATGGAGAAAATTGTTTGACTTTGCCCGTGTTTCCTATGTTCATCCAGGCTCTCCTCTCGACAGATGCTTTGAGCGATCCCTGCTCAAGTTCAGGAGGAAACAGGGGGATGTTCACAGCATCCCGTGACGCACACGGCAGCTTGCAGGATTAGCTTCTCGGAGTAAATCAAGCTCCAGCCTACCCACAACTCCCCCAGCCCTGCTAGGAACAGACATTGACAGGAGTGGGACTCCCAGCACTGCTGCAGATAACAGGCATACTTGGTATTTGTGGCTTTTCTCAGACAGGTCTGCAAATAACTGGCTTTAACCCTGTTTCACAGCCACGCAAAAGAGGCGCGGATCTGCCCGGGTCCTGCAGGCAAGACCAGAACCCAGCACCGGGGTTGTGGCTGTTTTGTCTAGCTGATATAGGCAGATGGCTTCAAAAAACGGGTGTCCTGTTTTTAGTAGTATATTTCCCTTTAAACATAAGCCTCTGTGCCTTGACATCTACAAAAATATCCCCTCAAAACTTCAAACCAAGAAAGATGTGAGACAACGAGGTGCCAGGACTTGTGACCACCACCACACCATAGGACTCTGATGTGTGCGCAACCAGTGCCTAGGAGTGACCCCACAGCGACAAAAACACATGCAGAGGACAACACGCACGACAGACCTTACAACAGCAACCAGGTTGACATCAAAGGGAAGCCTCAAACTAAAGAAAAAATGGTGGGCTTGACCCAGCCCTTAGGAACAGCCTGTGCCGGCAAGTCACTGCAGGCTGCCCACCTTCTCACAACAAGCCTGCGACAATAAATCCAGACATAGGTACAGCCCTGAGAATGAGAAATGCCGGTGATGCAGTGCTTTCCCTCATGCCAGTGTGCTGGAGACGGTGCAGCTCCAAGCCCCAGCTCCTGGGACCAGCATCAGCTCGCAGCTGTACCAGGGGATGAAAAGCCCCATTGCAGCAGGAAATCTGGAGTTGTGTAACTAAGACACCGAATGACACAACCCTCTGGAGAGGTAGGCACGAGGACTGGGGTGTCTGAATGCTCTGAAGGATACAGGGCACTTTTTTTCCTGGGCCACAGCACAGCAGTTTCCAAAGGAGATGCACAAGTCCCTTCAAAGACCGCCCTATCTCAGAAGGGGGGACCTGTCCCTGAATGCCTTGGGCGGATTTCAGGCACCAGTTGCCCAGCTCTGCCCTCTTGCACCAAGGCACAAACACCCCCCACGTATGGTTTTGGGACCTGGAGGAGCAGGGGGAGCATAATTTACCACCCTCCAAATCCACAGCAGATCTACAGCAAGTCTGCCATCACCCGAACGTCAGCCTCTTGCCTCTCTCTCTAATATTTCCTCGCTCATTCTGGCTGCCTGTGAGGAGCCCTTGCCTGCCTGCTGCTGCCCGAAACAGCTGAGCTCAGCAGAGAGGAGACGGGGGCCGGCAGTGCCGCAGTGCAAGGTGAAAGCACCGCGCTGAGCGGCAGGGAGAGGCCTTGGTGGAGCGTGCCCTAGCTCTGCAAAGATGGGGACAGGCTCACGGATGGCAATTCCCACTTTCCTTCCCGGAGGGGGACTGCCTGGTGGGTATCCCCTCCCGCGCGCCGCAGGGCTGCAAGCCCAAGCTGTTTCCCCCTTGCCTTCAAGAGCATGCGAGCGTGGCTGCCAAGCTTGCTGCTACTGCTCCAATTCACAGGGCAAAGAGAGAAAAGCAAGCTTGCTGGTGCTTGACAGCTCAACGGTGCCTGTAAAACACTGTACGGGTGTGGAATGGTCACTCGACTTGTGTGGGTTAACTCAAGTTCCTCCCTGCGCATCCCTCCCACTAAAAGACCCAGTGGCTACTTGACAAACCCTGTGTTTTGTCATCTTTGCTGCTGTGGATGCTAGGGCTCGTGACTGGCCAGGAAACACAGGAGTCTTCTCCCCACTGCTCCTGTCCACACACACGCACTGCTGGCACTGGAGCGTATGACCCTTGGCTTCCCCTCTCCCACCGCTGGCTCCGGCTCGTGCAGCAGACCTGTTGCTGGCATGGTGATTTCCAGCCACCACCCAGCATTTTCTTAACCCTGTTTCTGACAGCCTATTCTCTTCCCCTCTTTCTCCTCAGTCGGGAGCCACTAGAGCATCTCCTGTTGGCATCTCTGCATGTGACTCTGCCATGGGAAGGGTGATGGCAAGCGATAGCCCCCTGCAGCAAGACCAGCACCCTTCAGATGAGAAAAGAGAAGCACAAGGGGAACTGTGCTGCCTACTTCTTTGCTGCACCACTTTAAGCTCCTTCTTTATAAGCCCAGAATTTTGGACCTGACATTTGTTTTTTTTCTTACATTCACAGGTCCTGGACATTTTCTGACCTAATCTGTTTCAAATGTGGAATTTGCAAAGTGAGCTTTGTAGTAGCAGTGGTGTACAATACACACACACACACACACACACACACACACACACACACACTCACCCTTACACAGCACGCATTTCCTTTTATAACAGTGAGGACAGAAAGAACAACAACAAAAAAGGGTATTGGCTCTATTTTTGCATGACTACCAAAATGGTTAGGAATGACCAGGTTGTGGTTTTTCACGTTGGAGGCATCGTTCCTACGCACACCCTATACCTACAGGAATGGCTGCTCGGTGATGTCCAAGGTCTCATCACTCACATCCCACCGGCCCAGCCTCCCCTCCCCAGGAGGAGTGGGCAGCCGCACTCTGCACTCTGTAGTGCTGCAGGCCAGTCCTGGTTTCCTCTGCTTATTTGGACAAATGCACACGTGTGCAAGCACTCACGTGTAGCAGGGGCTGCTATGCTGGTACTTGAAGGCTGAGAGCCAGACAGGTTGCAGGTGGGAGAGAAAAAAAGGCTAAGCAAGGGTGCAGACTGACTCTTGCAAGCAAGGTGGCCAGGAGTCAAAAAGCCAGTGAGGACGCCGGAGAGGGGACACCATGGAACCTGTGTTGCAGCCGCTCCCCTCTCCTCACCCCTCTTCTCTGCCTGAGTGATCTCTCAGCATCTTGTCTCACACTTACAAGGCAGGACATTATCTACAGCAGGATGAGCATATGTACACATGGACTGTTCCTTTTGCATGCTTCCAGAGAGCAAGAGAAAGAGAGAGAAGACGGAGCAAGAGTCACACATACACGCATGCATGCACGCACACAGGCATACACGGGAGAAAGAGACCTGGTCGAATTGAGGGGGGGAGAGGAAGAGGATTAAAAGAAAAGAAAAGGAAAGTATGTTTTCAGTAGAGTTGACACAGCTTTAGTTCAGGCCAGCTTGCACGATGTTGCATGAAGGAGGGGACAGGAAAGAAGGTGTTTAGCAAGGGCTGGGTGCGCAGGAGCGCAGGGTGAAGTGAAGAGAGGAAGGGGTTCTTCACAGGACACCAGTGTGCAGAGAGCTTCAGGTGGCTCGCTCTGGTTTGTGGCTTTTTTTTTTTTTTCTCCCTTTTTTTTTGTTGTTTTCAAAAATATGAACTGGCTGAGCATCGGCTCACAAAAATGACCCAGGGCATCCAAAAAGTAAAGTGGCTATAGACACCGAAGCAAAGACCTCTTTCTGCAAAAGAAAGAAAGAGGAGGGAGGAAGGAAGGAAGGTGAGGGAGTATGGGAAAGAGGAAGGAGGAGAGAAAAGAAAAGGGATCTCCTGTTCGATTGGCTTTGTGGGTTTTGTTGGATTGTTTACATTGCAGCATCCTCTGGCGACACAGTCCTTGCTGGTGCCCCATTCTCTCCCTCACTTCGTTTTGCCTCCTAGACGGTCGGTGACTTGACAGCCGGCTTGTCAGGTTTCGGATTAAATGTTGCTGAGTCTTCTTTGCTGTAATTTTTCCTCTCCCCCCTCTTCACTCCTGAACACACAAAAGTTGTGAAAGAAACAGTCCTCTCTCTCTCCCCCCCTCTCTTTTTTCTCTCTCCCCTCTCTTCGCTCTGTCTCCTGTATAACGCATTTTGTTTTGTGTGTTGTTGTTGTTGTTGTCGTGTTGGGTTTTTTTTTTAATTATTATTATTATTATTATTATTATTTTTAATTCTGATTTGTATTAACATTTGCTGAGTAGGCAGAGCAGGGACGCTGCCAGCAGCCACAGTGGGACGGCCAAACTCATGGAGCCGTTGTCTACTCTCCCTGTGCCGGGTCCTGCAGGGTGCGAGAAGGGAGAGAAAAGAGGACAAGATTACACACGGCTGAGCGAGACGGGGGTAACACAGGAACACGGCGCTTCGCTCCGGGGCTGCTCCTGCCGCAGGGAACCGGGGCTGCAGGGCACAGCCGCCTTCCCGCTCAGGTGTGCCTCCATCCAGGCTCCTGCCCGCCGGCTCCTCATCATCCTCCCCTCCTGCCCAACGCTCCATCGGCATGCGGCTCGCCCTAAGCAACACCCGGGCTGGAGAACCAGGGCCCGGAGCAAGCGGGAAGGCTCAGCCCCGGCTGCCGACCCCATCCCATCCCTCGCCGTGCCTCCGGCTGGATGCCCGGAGCGGGGGCACGGCTCACACCTTTGCACGGTGTACCCCCCTCCCCAGCCCCACATCTCCCCACTCTGCCACCTTCCCGGCGCTGGCCCTGGGATGCCAGGGCTCGTTGTAATTCTGTGCGGTGGCCAGTGCCTGTCTGCAGCCAGACACCGGCTCCGCAGGGGCTGATTCATCACAGCGGTCCGATCAATAAAACATGGGCCCGACCAGCGGATGCCTCCCCTCCCAGGGGCTGCGCCGCAATTATTTATTTCTTAATCGGGGTGGAGGAAGGCTTCGCTGTTGTGTTTATGGCCTTGCGGCACGGCACCTATGGGGTAAGGGTGCAGGGTGTGCCAGGGAGGTTGATTTTTTTCGTAAGGGTGGGAAACGAACTTGCATGCGTGTGTGCGTGCATGCACGGGGGGGGTTCTGCCAGGGGGGAAGTGCTCTGCCGCAGCAACAAATAGTGCAGCCTTGCTGCAGGAATATTAAGTGCTAACACTCCTGACATCTTCTCATTCATCCTCTCATTTATGGGTTCCCATTTCTGGATGGCTTTAAAGGCAGCGATGCTATTTTAAATTCACCCTGCAATACCAAGCCTTGGCAGCCTTTGCTTTATCATGGAGCAGGGAGGTGGTTTTGTAAATGCATGCTCATCATGTATATGTACACAAAGATGTACGCCTATATGTACATTTATATGTACGCATATATGTATAGGTACACGTATATGTAGTGTTTTACACAGAAGGGTGCAGGAAGATGCTGAAGCGTGGAGATGGAGATGAGTCTATACGTTGGGACTGATGCTGCGGTGGAAGAAAGAAGACATGCTTACTACCAAGAAGAGCTATTTTTCTAACGGTGGGGGGAGCCAAAAAAACCCTGCAGTTTACCAGGCGAAGAGCCGCTCTCTGCCGGGTGGAGCACGGGTGCCACAGGCTCGCTCGACAGCACAGTCGGTATTAAACTCTAGGTGGTGACTAAAAGGCAGCAAATCCACGGATGTCCCCAGAGCCCCTGAAATTCTGTAGCACTTTCATTTGTGTGATTTCTTCCTAATGTAGCCCATCACTTACTAGATCAGCTGTTTGTGCCCCAATTCTATTCTTTCATTATTAAGTAAGTATGTGCTGAATTGTGTGGAAAATTTATATTCCATCTATGGCTTCTTTTTTTCAGTTAGTCCCTGCTCGCCTTCTGTGGCTTATCACACAAATCCTACAATATTGGTTTTTCACTCCTTGTTTGGGTGACAGGAACTTATTTCCCCCTCTGAGCTCGGGCACCAGTTCAATTTCAGCTACTATACTTACCTGACCTATGTTTCAGAGAAAACGTCTTTCACGGTCAAATAATTGGGGGAGGCTGTTTGGGACCATTTCCATCCTATATTGGCAGTGAAGAAATCCCAAAACATGACTCCTTCGGGCCAGCACATAATCAAGAATACACCAGGCAGGGTGTGTTGCCTACAAAAGGTTTCCAGCCATCACGTTTTCACTGTTTGGCTAAAATACTATTTGTCTAACACATACATGTATGTCACACATACGTACGTGGCAACCACCCGCCCCTCCTTGCCACTCTCCTAGGGTGCACATGCCAGCAGAGCAAAGGCACAGGTACCTACGGGGGCACGCGATGCACAGCTGACGCAGGGCTGTGTTTGGCCTGGGCTGGGTGCTGCTGCCTTAATACGTGTAAGTGCACGGCTTGGGGTTTGTGTGCTTGGTGGGGCGTGGGGGAATAGAGGTGCGGTATGGTGTGGTGTGGAGTGGCTTGGTGTGGTGTGGTATGGCTTGGTGTGGTGTGGCATGGTGTGGTATGGCGTGGCATGGTGTGGTGTAGCATGAGTGTGGTATGGCGTGGTGTGGTGTGGCATGAGTGTGGTGTCGTGTGGTATGGCATGGTGTGGTGTGGTATGGCGTGGCATGGTGTGGTATGGCATGAGTGTGGTGTGGTATGGCGTGGTATTGTGTGTGTGGTGTGGCATGAGTGTGGTGTCGTGTGATATGGCGTGGTGTGGTGTGGTGTGGTATGGCGTGGTGTAGCATGAGTGTGGTGTCGTGTGGTATGGCGTGGTGTAGTGTGGTATGGCATGGCCGGGTGTGGTGTGGCATGAGCATGGTGTGGTATGGTGTGGTATGGTGTGGCGTGGCGTGGCGTGGCGTGGTGCGGTGCGGTGTGGTAAAGGGATGACCTTCTGCAATACCCAGGTATACGGGAGGACGCACAAGGCCTGGCGTGACGAAGGACCTGGGAGAGGGTCGCGCCAGCTCCCGCTCCCCTTGAGCTTCGCTGCGCAGCCTGGAAGGTACCTATCCATCCATCCACCCATCCATCCATCCATCCACCTCTCTGCCCCGCCAGGAC